ACTCGTGTTATCTGTGGGTGTTATATTCGGTATCAAACCTCAACAAACTCGTGTTACCTGTGGGTGTTACATTCGGTATCAAACTTCGACAAACTCGTGTTACCTGTGTGTGTTATATTCGGTATCAAACCTCGACATTCTCATGTTACCTGTGTGTGTTACATTCGGTATCAAACCTCGACATTCTCGTGTTACCTGTGGGTGTTACATTCGGTATCAAACCTCGACATTCTCGTGTTATCTGTGGGTGTTATATTCGGTATCAAACCCCGACATTCTCATGTTTCCTCTGGGTGTTATATTCGGTATCAAACCTCGACAAACTCGTGTTACCTGTGGGTGTTACATTCGGTATCAAACCCCGACATTCTCGTGTTATCTGTGGGTGTTATATTCGGTATCAAACACCGACATTCTCATGTTATCTGTGGGTGTTATATTCGGTATCAAACCTCGACAAACTCGTGTTACCTGTGGGTGTTATATTCGGTATCAAACCTCGACAAACTCGTGTTACCTGTGGGTGTTATATTCGGTATCAAACCTCGACAAACTCGTGTTACCTGTGGGTGTTATATTCGGTATCAAACCTCGACAAACTCGTGTTACCTGTGGGTGTTACATTCGGTATCAAACTTCGACAAACTCGTGTTACCTGTGTGTGTTATATTCGGTATCAAACCTCGACATTCTCATGTTACCTGTGTGTGTTACATTCGGTATCAAACCTCGACATTCTCGTGTTACCTGTGGGTGTTGCATTCGGTATCAAACCTCGACATTCTCGTGTTATCTGTGGGTGTTATATTCGGTATCAAACCCCGACATTCTCATGTTTCCTCTGGGTGTTATATTCGGTATCAAACCTCGACAAACTCGTGTTACCTGTGGGTGTTACATTCGGTATCAAACTTCGACAAACTCGTGTTACCTGTGTGTGTTATATTCGGTATCAAACCTCGACATTCTTATGTTACCTGTGTGTGTTACATTCGGTATCAAACCTCGACATTCTCGTGTTACCTGTGGGTGTTACATTCGGTATCAAACCTCGACAAACTCGTGTTACCTGTGGGTGTTACATTCGGTATCAAACCTCGACAAACTCGTGTTACCTGTGTGTGTTATATTCGGTATCAAACCTCGACATTCTCATTTTACCTGTGTGTGTTACATTCGGTATCAAACCTCGACAAACTCGTGTTACCTGTGGGTGTTACATTCGGTATCAAACCTCGACATTCTCATGTTACCTGTGTGTGTTACATTCGGTATCAAACTTCGACATACTCGTGTTACCTGTGGGTGTTACATTCGGTATCAAACCCCGACATTCTCGTGTTATCTGTGGGTGTTATATTCGGTATCAAACACCGATATTCTCATGTTATCTGTGGGTGTTATATTCGGTATCAAACCCCGACATTCTCATGTTTCCTCTGGGTGTTATATTCGGTATCAAACCTCGACAAACTCGTGTTACCTGTGGGTGTTACATTCGGTATCAAACCCCGACATTCTCGTGTTATCTGTGGGTGTTATATTCGGTATCAAACACCGACATTCTCATGTTATCTGTGGGTGTTATATTCGGTATCAAACCCCGACATTCTCATGTTTCCTCTGGGTGTTACATTCGGTATCAAACTTCGACAAACTCGTGTTACCTGTGTGTGTTATATTCGGTATCAAACCTCGACATTCTCATGTTACCTGTGTGTGTTACATTCGGTATCAAACCTCGACATTCTCGTGTTACCTGTGGGTGTTACATTCGGTATCAAACTTCGACAAACTCGTGTTACCTGTGAGTGTTACATTCGGTATCAAACCTCGACAAACTCGTGTTACCTGTGTGTGTTATATTCGGTATCAAACCTCGACATTCTCATGTTACCTGTGGGTGTTACATTCGGTATCAAACCTCGACAAACTCGTGTTACCTGTGTGTGTTACATTCGGTATCAAACCTCGACATTCTCATGTTACCTGTGTGTGTTACATTCGGTATCAAACTTCGACATACTCGTGTTACCTGTGGGTGTTACATTCGGTATCAAACCCCGACATTCTCGTGTTATCTGTGGGTGTTATATTCGGTATCAAACACCGACATTCTCATGTTATCTGTGGGTGTTATATTCGGTATCAAACCCCGACATTCTCATGTTTCCTCTGGGTGTTATATTCGGTATCAAACCTCGACAAACTCGTGTTACCTGTGGGTGTTACATTCGGTATCAAACCCCGACATTCTCGTGTTATCTGTGGGTGTTATATTCGGTATCAAACACCGACATTCTCATGTTATCTGTGGGTGTTATATTCGGTATCAAACCCCGACATTCTCATGTTTCCTCTGGGTGTTATATTCGGTATCAAACCTCGACAAACTCGTGTTATCTGTGGGTGTTATATTCGGTATCAAACCCCGACATTCTCATGTTTCCTCTGGGTGTTATATTCGGTATCAAACCTCGACAAACTCGTGTTATCTGTGGGTGTTATATTCGGTATCAAACCCCGACATTCTCATGTTTCCTCTGGGTGTTACATTCGGTATCAAACTTCGACAAACTCGTGTTACCTGTGTGTGTTATATTCGGTATCAAACCTCGACATTCTCATGTTACCTGTGTGTGTTACATTCGGTATCAAACCTCGACATTCTCGTGTTACCTGTGGGTGTTACATTCGGTATCAAACCTCGACAAACTCGTGTTACCTGTGGGTGTTACATTCGGTATCAAACCTCGACAAACTCGTGTTACCTGTGGGTGTTATATTCGGTATCAAACCTCGACATTCTCATGTTACCTGTGGGTGTTACATTCGGTATCAAACTTCGACATTCTCATGTTACCTGTGTGTGTTACATTCGGTATCAAACTTCGACATACTCGTGTTACCTGTGTGTGTTACATTCGGTATCAAACCCCGACATACACGTGTTACCTGTGGGTGTTACATTCGGTATCAAACCCCGACATTCTCATGTTACCTCTGGGTGTTACATTCGGTATCAAACCCCGACATTCTCGTGTTACCTGTGTGTGTTACATTCGGTATCAAACCTCGACATTCTCATGTTACCTGTGTGTGTTACATTCGGTATCAAACCTCGACATTCTCCTGTTACCTGTGGGTGTTATATTCGGTATTAAACCTCGACAAACTCGTGTTACCTGTGGGTGTTACATTCGGTATCAAACCCCGACATTCTCGTGTTACCTGTGGGTGTTACATTCGGTATCAAACCCCGACATTCTCGTGTTATCTGTGGGTGTTATATTCGGTATCAAACACCGACATTCTCATGTTATCTGTGGGTGTTATATTCGGTATCAAACCCCGACATTCTCATGTTTCCTCTGGGTGTTATATTCGGTATCAAACCTCGACAAACTCGTGTTACCTGTGGGTGTTACATTCGGTATCAAACCCCGACATTCTCGTGTTATCTGTGGGTGTTATATTCGGTATCAAACACCGACATTCTCATGTTATCTGTGGGTGTTATATTCGGTATCAAACCCCGACATTCTCATGTTTCCTCTGGGTGTTATATTCGGTATCAAACCTCGACAAACTCGTGTTATCTGTGGGTGTTATATTCGGTATCAAACCCCGACATTCTCATGTTTCCTCTGGGTGTTATATTCGGTATCAAACCTCGACAAACTCGTGTTATCTGTGGGTGTTACATTCGGTATCAAACCTCGACATTCTCATGTTTCCTCTGGGTTTTACATTCGGTATCAAACTTCGACAAACTCGTGTTACCTGTGTGTGTTATATTCGGTATCAAACCTCGACATTCTCATGTTACCTGTGTGTGTTACATTCGGTATCAAACCTCGACATTCTCGTGTTACCTGTGGGTGTTACATTCGGTATCAAACCTCGACAAACTCGTGTTACCTGTGGGTGTTACATTCGGTATCAAACCTCGACAAACTCGTGTTACCTGTGGGTGTTATATTCGGTATCAAACCTCGACATTCTCATGTTACCTGTGGGTGTTACATGCGGTATCAAACTTCGACATTCTCATGTTACCTGTGTGTGTTACATTCGGTATCAAACTTCGACATACTCGTGTTACCTGTGTGTGTTACATTCGGTATCAAACCCCGACATACACGTGTTACCTGTGGGTGTTACATTCGGTATCAAACCCCGACATTCTCATGTTACCTCTGGGTGTTACATTCGGTATCAAACCCCGACATTCTCGTGTTACCTGTGTGTGTTACATTCGGTATCAAACCTCGACATTCTCCTGTTACCTGTGGGTGTTATATTCGGTATTAAACCTCGACAAACTCGTGTTACCTGTGGGTGTTACATTCGGTATTAAACCTCGACAAACTCATGTTACCTGTGGGTGTTCTATTCGGTATCAAACCCCGACATTCTCATGTTACCTGTGGGTGTAACATTCGGTATCAAACCTCGACGAATTCTTGTTACCTGTGGGTGTAACATTCGGTATCCAAGCTACATGTGGGGTTACCAGTTGGGGATAATCGACATGTATGAACTATCGTTCCGTTGTTGAGCTATGTACCTTTGCAGTTTCCAACTACATGAAATATATCTGAATGTTAAGCCCACTTCGACCCAGTTCCTGTGAAGCATCACACTCTGTACAGACAATAGTATAACTATGTTCCTTGTATCATTACTTTTCATGTATCTATGTATAAGATATTGCGCCTTTCTGAACACTGAATTGTACGATAATGTGCCGGTTATCTTGATACAAAAAATAGTACATAGATAACAGCTGCTTTCTTTCTTTCTTTTGTATCTTTTAGCAAAAGAGGGTAGGGGGGTGTGGGGGGCGGGGGAGTCTAGTGGATCGCCAGCACCATATACACATCCGTATACACGGATTCTCCAACATATTTATAATGAAATGCTATGCATCCCACTTTGCTTATACTCAGGGGAAAGGGGGGATGATGATGATGAATCTTTTATATTACCATACTCACTTGTCATTATTAACTTCTTTGTTGGCAACAAGGTTGTCGGGATTGAGATACGCAGTCTGCACCTGATCAAATACAAAGGCTCCTCCTCCGAACCCAGCTACAACAAGACCGTTGACGAGTCCCTTTTTATCAGGCAGCCACTGGGAAAAATAAGTCGTGATTAACATCGTAAGGATATTTATCAGTAAGAAATATTATTACAATATTTTCTTGTCGTCCTAATGGCAGGATATGATGAGCTCTATAGTATAACATGTCATCCTGATGACAGGATATGGGGAGCCCTATAACATAACATGTCTTCCTAATGACAGGATAAGGGGAGTCCTATAATATAACCTGTCGTCCTAATGACCGGATATGGGGAGTCCTATAATATAAGATGTCGTCCTAATGACCGGATATGGGGAGTCCTATAACATAATCTGTCGTCCTCATGACCGAATATTGGGAGTCCTATTATATAACATGTCATCCTAATGACAGGATATGGGGAGTCCTATAACATAATCTGTCGTCCTAATGACAGGATATGGGGAGTCCTATAATATAAGATGTCGTCCTCATGACCGAATATTGGGAGTCCTATTATATAACATGTCATCCTAATGACAGGATATGGGGAGTCCTATAACATAACCTGTCGTCTTAATGACAGGATATGGGGAGTCCTACTATATAACATGTCATCCTAAAGACAGGATATGGGGAGTCCTATAATATAACCTGTCGTCCTAATGACAGGATATGGGGAGTCCTATTATATAACATGTCATCCTAAAGACAGGATATGGGGAGTCCTATAATATAACCTGTCGTCTTAATGACAGGATATGGGGAGTCCTATAATATTGTATGTGGTCCTAATGTTGTTGGATCAACAGAGATGAAACTAAAGCCAGATAAGACCAGGAAAATAAGATTGAAGCACATCCATAGCGTTCTTAAAACAAGTAGATATCGTGAAAAACGAATTTGGTTAAAACCAGGAAAAATCAAGAGAGGAAACACCCAGGCAAAGAACATACATAAAGACCAATCTGAAACCATTTATTTGATGAAATTTGATAATAATTTTGTTCATGTAAAAGATCATTTTTAAAACTAGATTTCCATAAACAGCGAATTCCAGGAACACATACTGAACATCAATTTAAATATTATATGAAGGGTTTTTAAAGCTAGCCATTTTCAATTATTCTGTTTTTAACCTTTTCTATTCGTATCAAGTTTTTCTAGAATTTAAAGATACTAAATTAGCTTCCCGACGATAACTCAAACATAACACAAACCTTCATGCCACATCCCATCGGAGCAGCGTAGGCGATGCCCACTCCGAACCCAAACAATCCGCCATAGGTGAGAGCTGTCAGACCGAAGGACGTCTTTATTGTGAAGTAAGTCAAAAGCACACCGCCACTAGTTTATATCAAGAATAAAACGTAATAGTAGAGTATAAGTGATGAACACCATACAAAGTAATATAAAATTGTTTAGATGTCAATAGCGTGCTGGTAACTGCGCGACCAGGAAATTCATAATGGCAAATTCTCAGCGTGTATTGGTTTATGTTTTTAACATGGGGACATGACAATACTTTCTGCCTGAAGGTTACGTAAGAGAACCTGAAAAGTCTGGGTGCATTTTCTTGCAGTCAATATTACAATTCTTATATCTTGAGGACAAACCTTGATATCCATCCACCAAGTAATGTAGTAAGCCTAGTGCCCAGCTTCCTCTGTACTAACCCCCCAATGAAAACACTGGCGCCTTGTCCCATTGTTGCTACTGCAGAGATCCACAGACTGTCGGCATACGTCAGTTCGGGAGAAACCGCCTTCTTCCTCATATATGATGTCATATATGGCGTCATGTTTCCTGCAAAATATTAAAAAGTTCATCCTGACAATTTTTTTTCGAGATGAGTGGAGGATGACCGCCACAAAAGGTAGATGCTCAATTTAAGCTACAAAATTATTTGTTTATGTCTTTTTTCTTTCCAAGTTGCTAGGTATTTTTGAGGACCAGTACGTAACGTGGACAATATTGTTTTCCTTCGTTTCCGTAAATATTATAGGGTTGTGAGCATACAAGATACATTTCTTAAAAGCGAATGTTATCGGGGTGAATCCCCGACAGTTATAATAAACATAACTCTGCTTAAATATTTCGATAATGATATTGTATTCAGATACCAGAGATTTAGCAGCTTAAAGTGAGCACCTATCGTTTGTATCCTTCTTTCTCTGCCATCTTAAAAAGACCATTCCTCAACGGGTATTTATACATAACAAGATTTTGCGGTAAACTCTTTTTAATAAAAGTCTACATGCCACGCTCTGTATAGTGATATTTTAAGCCATATACTCTATGTAATGATAATCCATAGCATAGTTTGTATGAAAGTATAAGATATTTTACACCGTACATCTAATAACAATATTATACAGCATACATCTTATAACAATATTTTACAGCCTAAATCTTTTAATGATGTTTTACACCGTACATCTCATAATGATGTTTTACACCGTACTTCTATAACAATATTTTACACCGTACATCTTATAACAATATTTTACAGCCTACATCTTATAATGATGTTTTACACCGTACATCTCATAATGATGTTTTACACCGTACTTCTATAACAATATTTTACACCGTACATCTTATAACAATATCTTACAGCCTACATCTTATAACAATATTTTACAGCCTACATCTTATAACAATATTTTACAGCGTACTTCTTAACACAATATTTTACAGCCTACATCTTATAATGATGTTTTACACCGTACATCTTATAACAATATTTTACAGCGTACTTCTTAACACAATATTTTACACCGTTCATCTTATAACAATATTTTTCACTGTAATGTATATGCCATAACTTTATGAAACGTGTACATGACACAGAGGTGATGATGATAGTACATTTACTTACCAAATGTGTATACCGTGCCAAGAGAGAGATGTACCAGTATACCGCCGACTATAACAACATACCCCCTCCATCTTCCCATCGAAGAACAAGAGATGTCTTTCTTCCGGCGGTTGTGATTCATTTTGTTTGATTCTAGAATGACAGGTAATGACGAGCTATCTATTTATTGCTGGTCATTACGAAGTGTCTAAGCTGTACCGCGACGTCTATCCATTCACCTGTTATCACTGTATCTCTCATAGATACTACTGTTTATCATAGTCAACGATAAAGTTTTACTGGAGCAACAATTATTGTTTCGTATGAGTTCATAGTGTGTTACCTGAATAAGATTTTATAAATAAATATATGAACTGAATTGTGACCAAGTTCTATGATATCAGAAACCAGTGAGATCAGTGCTGTGATGACCGGTGCATAACATGGTATAGTGAAGCCAATGTTAAAGTGAAGCACGGTTTTACCATTACGGTAAAAGTAGGTCTTTGTGAATTGCATTGCCTTAATCTGATATTGGTTATCTACTGGCTAGCATGCCACAGAATTATCGTTCTAACCCGGCGCTCCCCATAAAATTGGCCATATGTCTATTTTTGCGAGAATAATGTAATGTTTATAGGTATACGGCACTTCAATACAAACTGGGGACATCATATGTTAGTATATAGAGATAAGGACGAATCACAACCTGATCATTGGTAACTTTGTAATTTCATCGACAAATTTCTTTACTTTTACTTCCGAAATATATTCATAACTGCTTATCCTTTTAAATAAGTAAAAACGGACCTGAATGGAGGGGTATTGTATTATTCCTATGCAGTACGGTCCCTTTATAATTTTTTTACTTCGTTTCAATTTAGAGTTTGAAATAACGACGGCAAGTTACCTTTCCAATCAGTCTCAAGACTAAACATGACTAAGCAGCATCGATGAAAACCTAGCCTATGTCGAATTACTACTATGTATTCTTTTGTTGATGTTTTTCTACGGTTTTATGGGAAAGTGGACCGAAGCTATCACGCTTGAACGTATTCTTCTCGACAGTCATGTACTGCAGCATTGCATCTTATCACTAGCGATCGCCACTACCGACACAACCAAGTAATGCCACGAAAGGTTAGCACACAGTAATCATATCATTGTGTTACGTTGTAAACTGAGATTTTGTTCGGGAATCAACAAAGCAACACGCACCATCTTTTTCTAAGTTTTTATTCGTTCTCCTTTTATGTTCTTCTATACAAAAGAGTTCCAACTCGGGGAATGACAACCAACTAAAATTGAGTTACTGGAGTCATGTCACCACTCGTCACCATACCATAACAATATTTACCAGTAATGAATTCCAGGGGTAGCCAATCTTATCTCTCTTTACAACATTATAACTAACTGAGTTGGCCTTTGATGTTTAGTTACCAAAGATTTTTCGTCCTCGGTCGTTTGAAGATGGAAGATGGAATTAGTGAAAATATGATAGTGTCAAAAGTGAACTTCTCAATATATATCTTGGAATTTTTCCAAGAGAGATGTGTTCGATGACCTGAGGGGACGTGTGTTGGATCGGGGTGGATACTTATCCAAAATTACCTATATTTGTGGACAATTGGAAATTATCCCGTTGGATACACGTTTTGTGCCTGAGTCAGTGAGTCGTTTGATGTTTTCCATTTGACTTTTGAGCTGGCAGTTTTGCAATTTTAGCAATTTTTAGACATATCATTATCTGGATTTGTGTAATCAACAATGGGCGACACAGGTGAAACCCACGTGCAGGCTGACGTCTCGGACACTCAGGTAAACGCATCAAACCGTAGCGATGTTACTTCTACCTTTGCACAGCCTACAGGAATGACCTGTTAACCCTGGGTCAATAACACATGAACAGGCTGTGTTGTTTTCGTTGCTGTTTGCGCATGACAGGCAGGTAATATGGACGTTTCAGGTACGTGCTCCGATATTTTCTGGTATTAATTGTATTCTTTGGATCCCTATTATGTGACATTTGGACAGAACATGCTTAATACCTCTCTAAACATCCTAGAGAAGGGAAATCTAGAGTTATTATGGGAAACAAACGCAAAGGTAAAAACTCATCCACAGGTGTAACTCCACCCGAGAAAGTACACGTTCAACAGATGGCTACATGTACCCCTACTCCTACCCCTATGTCGGCAGTAATTACGGACGCTCATGGTTCGCTTTACGGGCAGTGTGGTCAACAGAACATTTCAAGTAATTCAAATGAAAGATATTTTGATGTATATACCGGTCAGTACGTATCGACACCAATACCCGGTAATGTACCCGTATCGAGACTTGTAATGTCGCCCAGCACGTGCACTGTGTCTCACAGTGAGCTGTATACACCAATAAGCCGTGACGGCCCACTACTATACGGACAACACACAAGTATGTCCCCTACACAACCTCTTCATCCTTTGCCGCCGCCTCCTCCGTATCCCCCGTCAATGATGCACCTATTCAATGACCTACAGGGAAGGCTGGCACAGCTAGACCAAATCCTACCGAAACTGGGCCTACTTGACCAGATAAACGAAAATATGAACAGTTTTGAAATTTGTATCAGGAAACTTCAAAATGAAATAACTGAAGTAAAACAAATTGCGGAGCAAAATAAAAGTATTAAAATCAAGCAAGAGGACCACCATCATAATTTAGAAGCACGTGTCTCTAACTTAGAGAAAAAAATGAACATCTTATCAAAGAAAATTATGATCTCAATGAAAACTTTCTGAAGCTACAAACACATACGATGAAATATAACTTGTTATTCTGGGGAATTCCTGATAATGGCCATGCAGAAAACACCGAAAATACTCTTAAGGACTTCATACGTGATACGCTTGAGGTTGCTGATGCTGGGAATATCCCGTTTGACAATGTGCACCGTCTGAAACCTAGAAATGATGGAAAACCACGTGGTATCATTGCCAAGTTCGGTCATTATAGTGATTTGGAGCGAGTCTTGAAATCGGTACCTGTGAAACTGCGTGATAAACCGGACATTACCGTACAGAGACAATTCCCTCCGGAAATAGCGCGCCGGCGGGGGGGGGGGGGGGGGGGACCTGTATCCGATTATGAGAGAACAGAAACGTCACCACAACAAAAGCTGTAATAAACTATGACACGTTATATGTCAATGGGGAACCCTATAGAGGCAATCCTCCCATATATCCGTCAAACGGGGCACCTCCTGATCAGAGGGATCGTATCTAGGACCACGCGACAAGAGGTACGTCAGTACCGGACCTGAAAGTTACCTTCTTCAATGTATGTGGCCTAAGATCCAAACTTCTTCTACCTGAATTTAATGACATCATAACGTCAGAAATTCAAGATGAAATGATTAGTTTGATGAAGAATGATACAAAGATTATACTTGTAGGTGATTTTAATGCCAGGACAAATTGTTATGATGATTATGTTGTACCAGATGATAATCTGGCGGAATTGATGAATTTAGTAGATACTGATGAGTTATATAATGAACTATATGACTATAAGGTACTTTCTCACCTAGGAGTCCCATTGCAAAGGGCCAGCCAGGATATAGCAAGGCCAAATACATATGGCCTTAAGTTGTTAGAATTCTATAAAAATAGTAATCTATATATCGCCAATGGCAGAGTTGGTAATGACAGATATATCGGAAAGAATACGTGTAAAAATGTAAGTCTCGTTGACTATTTGATTGTATCTTCAAATGTTTTCTCCTTCTTGAGTCACTTTGATGTACTTGACTTTGACCCTTTAATTTCAAACGTACATAACAGAATAATATTTTCTATAAATATGTCTGAAAATGTTACAGAGAAACCACTTGTAATTACAGAGAAAACTGGAAAATGGGTGAACGATAAAAATGGTGATTTTATAGCGGATCTTAGATCTGATAACGAAGGGAAGCTACAAGCGGTAAACACGATCATTGATGCTATGTTAGATTCAGATATTGAAATCTCCAAACAAGATGTAAATGATGTGGTAAATGATATTGCTAATCTGTTTGCGAAAATTTCAAGGGACGTCCTTGGAACCCAAAAGGTCAAGAGTAAAACTATTGTTAGCAGTAATAATATTAAAGACAAACCGTGGTTTACCCGTGATTGTGCTAGTAAGCGTAAAGAGTTTCACGAAGCAAAGAAAACTTACAGGAATTTGAAAAATAATGTGAACCGAAAAAAATTACGTCAAAAGAGTAGAGAATATAGAAAGTCGTTAAACAACAATTATAAAAAAATTCAAAAGGGAATTGAAGATGAGATGAGAAATGCTTCCAAGTTCGACCCAAAACTATTCTGGAACATTCTAAATAAAGTTGATAATAGGAAAAAAAGACAAAAAATTGATTTGTCGATCGATGAGCTATACGCATATTTTAAAAAGTTAAATAGTGATAACGACAAAGATGAGGAATTTATTATTCCAGACATGAGGGGAAGTTTATACGACGATATACTAAATAGTAGAATTACCTCTGAGGAAGTAACTACAGCTGTAAAAAAAATAAGTAATAACAAGGCAAGTGGCATTGATAACATAATTAACGAATATATAAAGAGTTCTATTGATATCATGTTACCTACTTATGTAAACCTTTTTAACATCATATTAGACACTGGAATAATACCAGAAAGCTGGAACACCGGAATAAATATCCCAATATATAAAAATAAGGGATACAAGAATGACTTCAATAATTACAGGGCGATAACGCTAGTATCTTGTCTTGGAAAAGTCTTCACATCAGTACTAAATTCTAGGTTATACGAATTATCTGACCAGATCGGCCTCATTAGTAATGCCCAGGCAGGTTTTAGAAAAGAGCATTCAACAACTGATAACATATTTATCTTACATCTACTTATATCATTATACTTATCGTCTGGAAAAAAATTGTATTGTGCATTTATTGACTTAAAGAAAGCATTCGACTCAGTATGGCGTGTAGGATTGTGGAGGAAATTGCTTAAAAATAACATTACTGGTAAAATACTTAAAGTGTTATATAATAATTTATATTCAAACACGAAATCTTGTGTTAGAAATGGTAGTGATATGTCACAGATGTTTGCTTCTAATGTCGGATTGAAA